GTATCCATACCACCAACTGTCTGACTTAAAGACCGTAGACAAAGAGACAAAGAGATGGTTTGAATCCATGACATTCCATACTCCAGAATATTACCACATTTCTTTTGCTTCATAATTTCAAAGAACATTGACTAAACAATGCAAAACATATTAAGTGACGTCTGATGTTTACAGCCGCTTAGTTTCGATAGACCTATACTTACTAGTTTAAAACATAATTAACCAATAACACCTCTTCTTATGGTTCTCAGTTATTAACGAATATAATTTGTACGTCATCTTCCTTGAAAAGTTAATTTTCCTGGATTTCGAGGGACTAGGTATACTACAGCTTAACTGTCAGCATTAGGATTAAAATTTTAAAAAACTTACTTAATATCAAATAAAACATTTGCCGAAGATAGTCTTCTTCTTTAATTGGACACTAGAAACTAGCGAGGTGTGTCTAGTCCTTGATTTGGTGCAGAGTGAATTCCATCAGTCAGGTTTGCAATGTAGACACCATTCTAGGTGGCTGTCCATCACAGTGCCAGCTGAATTGTTGGTATTAGATGGTTGAAGACAATCAGCAGGAAGCCTTGCACCTAGATTTTGAGCTTGATGACACTCGTCAGTAAGGTGTGTCTGCAACTATGAAAGAATTCATCTCCCTTCTGAGATTCGAACCTGCTTCACCAGTGCTGCAGTCAGAGATGTTACCACTGAGGTATTCGAGCTAGCGATTAACCTCCTGTGGAATTATATTGGATATTTTGATTGGACACTCGTTAGTAACTAGTGTGATGTGTCTAGTCCTAGATCCAAGACTTCCTGCCAAATTGCCTCTAACCATTATACTAATTAAAACAGTGTAGTGAAATTCGACACTCCTGATTTCCAACCAATTAAATAAATGAATAAACAAAACAGTTTTATAGTCTTTCCATAGAAAATTCTAAAGGAAAATAAAATATGATAAAACTTCATTTCACACCTAGCGGATAGTAATTGAATAAATATCATACAGTATTTTACATGTACATAGATTTTATACCTAATGGACACTTTTGTTGTCACCTTAGTTGAGATGATCATGATCATGATCAGTAGCAAAATATACCAGAAATACACACACTCAAAATAGAAGATCTACTGATATCTGTTTAATGCTTTTAACAAAAATCCAAATTATTCGACGTCTTCAGGACACTTTAAAGGATTTTAAAGAACAATGAATTGTACATTATGCACATATGCATTATAGTATTGTCAGCTGAGTTAATATATTTTCAAAAAATAAACACTCTTTTATTAACTCTGAATAAAAGAACATTCCTACAAAAGTGAGAAATGAAAGTTTTCGGATAGTATAAAAGTAAATAGCTATTCACAGAGTTATTAATAAACAAAGCAACTTATTCTGCTGGCTTAAACTATCATTTCTGAAAATTCTATTCCATAAATTATAATATTCGCAACAATAACGATGCATGTGATACTTATAATAAGAGTAATTATTCTTTGCGTAAAACACAAAACGAACAATTAATACTTCATTTTGAGGCTACTAACAAGTAAATAGTGAGTTAAAGATTGCAGTCATTAAAAACTATCACATGTGACTAATTGTAATTTTTTTAAGAGACACAAAAGTGTACTACTTGTACAGTCAACTTTATTAATTAAATTTATTATAAAGGGTTTCTTTCGAGTGTTTTTGATAGTCATAGGTTAACAGTTTGAATAACAGTCTTCTAGTTACTGAAAGCATACTCTTGCTATACTATGGAGAGTTAAGTAACACTTAGCACAACGAGTAAATGATATTTCGAAATTTGTTTATGCCTCTATGTACATTTATTCATGAAGACAGAGCATAAATTAAGTAAGCTGAGTAATAATTCATCCGTATTATTACTATTATTCCCTTAGGTTCAGAGTGGAACATCGGGCATCAGCAGTAAATCTCCATTTCAACTTGTTCTCTGCAGTTCTCTGTAGTCAGCCTCGCGATAACCCATAAGCTATCATCTCCAGCATATCATACCTAAGACATACGCCTAACTAGTCTCTTCCCATTAAGGTTCCACTCGAGCTATGGCCTTATGCGCCATGTCACTCGATGGTTTCATTCATCTCCATTGCTTTCTGCATATTTAATCGAACGGCAGATTCTTGGTCGATTTATTATTATCACAGCTCCCTGTTGCTGATCTTTTTTTGCCCTTCGACCTTCGGTATGAAGAAGCCACAGCAGCTGATGAAAGTCGTGGCCTGTGGGAAATTCACATCTATGCCGGAGATATAATCTTTGATGGAAATATTAAAACTTACGTCCCACTTATGGTAATCTAGCATAAATCAGTGGATAAAAAAATAGTTGTCTAAATAAGTCGATTAATTCTAATATAGGTTTAAATAAAATCAGTTAATTAACTAATCATCATAGATTCTCAGTGGAACTTACAGTGCGATATTGCTGCAAATTTTTATTGGTTAAAGAATTATGAATACATCATCAATCATCTGTGCTCATAACCAAAAATTACTATTGCATGAAATGCCTTTTCACTTAGTTATTAAACATGAATTCGTAATCTGTTAAAGTTGAGAGAATTTCTACAAGGAATATGCATTTGCTTTGTACTCCTCTTATGAAAAGCTGCAAAAGGGTGACATCTTCAGTACAACAGAAACCTAAAGTTCACTTTATGAAACTGTTTCGTATATCTGCGATAAGAATCCTAAACAGCGTACGTCAGATAGGTAGAATTATATATAATTATGCACCCAATGACGAGGCATTTATACCTTGGTTTTCGGCAGAATTGAACATACCAGCATGCAGTATCATTTTGTAATATGAACACTAGTGATTATTTGGCTAAGAACATGCTAAAAGAAACAATCAAAGTGTTATTGAAAGCTATGAATATAAAGTAATTTAATGTAAATCGTATTTTGTGGAATGAATGAACTCCCCTGAACACTGTACCATATCACAGTGTTAATCGGTTTGAAATATTGTAATCAAGTCGAAACTAAGTGGCATTCTACCTAATTTTCTCAAATCTTGGAAAATACCCATCAGGACATTACGGGGAAGAAAGCAAAAGATTAAGCAAAGATATCTTTACTCACTCTAGCACTCAAGAATAACAGTACAGGTACTAAAAGTGATTTTCTTTAAAAAAAAATAAATTTAAAACGAAATAAACCGACTAAGTTATATTCACTAGTATTTACAATACGATTATGATCAAAGATTACATTATACAACTATATGTTATTTTTATTTTGACGCTGCATCTCTTAGGAACAGCAATGTAAACTGGTGATGCTTATAAGAAATACCTTATCTGTCAGCAAAAATCTTTAATATAGTATTGTAACGCTAAAATCAAACAAAACAGGATGATAGGGTCCTCTGACCGTAAAGAAATGACATAGAGTGAAATATTATTTTAAGATTTTAGTGTATTCCAGATGCAATTTATTCACCGTGATCCCTGAAATAATACCCAAAATATGCCGGTTTATGACAGTTACTATTCAAGTTTGATCTCGGATTAATATCAGCTAGAGAACCATTGAAAACCACCAAGGCGTACTAAACAGCTGTTTTTTCCGAGCTCTGGGCTCATTGGTAGGATGTACTCACTACAAAGCTTTGAATTCAGAACCTCACGGTTACAAGGCATTGGCCAGTTCATAAATTCTAACTTCTAACACCATTCGGTGTCATCCGTGAGTACTTGTCTCACTACCAACCAGGTGGATGTTACTGGTTTCAACCCTTCACTAGAAGGACCTACATGTAACTTCATTCGGTGGCCAGTCACTAGCTAGCATCACAATAATTTTCAAAAAGTTTGTTTATTATTATCAATCAACACACCTGTAGTGTTACGTCACTAATACCAGAGATATGGAAAATATTATTGCCAATTAAGTCAGGGAATAAGAAATGATGGGACTATATAAACAAAATCTGACAGATACATGAGAACCTTAACGTAAGTATAGACAATAAGTTACGCTCGAAACTTCATCGCTATGTAAGCAATAATATATCACTTTGTATTTTATCAAGAAAAGCCACTCCATTACAAGTAAAAAAGCCTCTTTTACTTAATGAGTCAGTTTTAAATGAATAAAGCTATTACACATGTACGTTTACTACAAGTGCAGACCTGTTAAAAGCGTATTATACTGATACCAAAGACAGGCATGTTATTCAACAGGCTAAATGCGCACATATCTCGCACATTCACAATCTTTTCTTTGAGTAGCCGTTTTTATTAGTTGTAGTAGTCAGTTATACATGTAGCGGTTTTCATGCAAAATTTTACCTTCATACTGTACTTTCACACAAAGTTAGATCAGGATATTTTCACAGGAACGAATATGAATCAGCAAAGAAAGAATCCATCGAAAAATATTTCAAGCACATTTACCTACTGCGAAACACAAAGTGATGAAATAATAAACTTAGCAGATAGATAGGCAACACTAAATATTTCAAAACAGTCAACAGAAACTACCGTGGTTTACACTCTTTGCTATCCTATGACTATAGATGATAACTTTTTAAATTATCACTTATTTAGATTAAATATTTTAGAAATAAGGTTTAATTTTCAAGATTTGATGGTCTACGAGGTTATCTTGTAACCGAGAGGTCTTCGAATTAAACCCTTATGATGACAGCATACTACCGATGAGTCCCGACCCAGCATGAAATAGCGGCTCAGTACTCCTTGCTGGCTTTCAGTGGTTCTTTAACTCATATCAATCCGTAGTCAGACTTGAAATGAGCTTTGGACAAAAGCTCCGTAATAATATACAATAACACAAATCAACACACGCTATTTATACTAAGCCTTAATACACATTTTTTGCCAAGCAAACAAACTCACTGAATACATATCGTACTGATAATCTTATATTGTTATACATACTATTGTTATTATATTCACCATATTCGAATACAACAAAAAATGATCAAATTACCAACATACCTCATTTGGGAAGCATAGCGTTTTCCCCTGAGGTCACTAGTTTATTTTTTTCATTTAACTCCACTGTACAATATTATAACAAGTCAGTATCACAGAGTTTTTGTGTAATATGTTGTGCGTATTCGACAGAAAGCTCCAAAGTGAAATAAAGATAACACACGAAAGAAAAACTAATGAATACTATTTCAATGTGTCTATAGGCATAATATGAATTTAATCCATTAAGTGGCTTGTATAATAGTGAAAATAATTTCACAGATAGTTTTCCACAAAAGCAAGCTTGCTCAGTCTGCTTTGAATGCTTATACATTCATATGTTTATACACATGCGATAACTCATTAAGATAGAAAGTCAAAAATACACCCACACTAGATTATGTCCTTCCTTATTCCCTGGATTTTTATCCAATCAAATATGGAATGGCGAATACACTGCTGATGGCTTTTCATAACTAGACTGAATCAATTCAGTTATTTTTGTTTTGCTATCATATTTAAATAATTTTAAGCTTAGATACACAAGTGAGGATAGCCATACATTACTCAATAACACGAACATTATTATTTGATAATGACAATATTTTGTAAGAAACAATCTTGATCAGCTGTCAGGAATAGTTTAATGACTTAATGAACTAAGGTTCAAATTAAAATCTTTGTATTTAACATCTGAAAGCCAAATTCTGTTTAAAAATTTTATGTCAGTGCAGAAGAGGTTAATTTCTACACCTAAGACAATATATGTAATTTTCATTTATTTTTTTTTATTTTGGTTACAGCTCGATTCACACCGTATTTTTTAGTACAGGTATGGAATTTCCAGTATGTGATATCGGTAGTCCAAATTTTGCAGGCCGATCATAGATATCAGGTGTGCGTCGACAGGGGATCGAACTCCGGCCCATGTGCATGGTCGGCGAGAGTCCTAACCAATGTGCCACCGACGCACTCATTCAAAGCAACCTAACATAAATAATCAGATTACATAATATTATTTGAGATAATGTCATGTAGTTAGTAATGAAACGCGGGATCTGCCTTTTTCCCTATTTAAGAAGACTTTACGGAAAACGCTGTGGCGCTGGAGACGTTAAGTGATGGGTTGAAATCTCATTGGGAACACCATCACTCACTAGAGAGAAAAATAAATTCAAAAGAGGAATCCTAAATCAATCAGCCATAAATTCTAAATAAAAATCCAAACAATGGTTCTGTGAAAATATCCAGCTGTTTAATACGCCAGTTATTAGATATGATCATCCTATGGTTGTCAAAAAATCAGACGGAAAAACTTTCCACTCTTTAGTTAGCTAAATGAGAAGGGGGAAGGTCCCATTTTTGACTGACAACAGTCCGTAAATAGAATACTATGTCTAGTCCCATCTTTGGTGCAGACTAAATTCTATCAGTCCAGTTTGCAATGTGGACACCATGCATGTAAGGTGGCTCACCATCATGGTGTACTCCAAACTGTTGGTATTAGACGGTTGGAGACAATATGTAGGAGGCCTTGACCTAGATTTCATGCTAATTGGCACTTGTCAGAAAGGCACATTTGCAGCCTTCAAGGAACTCATGTCCCTTCTTTTGATTATCCACTTAGCATCGTGGCCACATCGCAAAAATAGGACTAGACGCATTAAACTAACTACTAGTTTCCAATCAAAGTATCTAATACAACCCTACAGGGAGTCAATCGCTAGCCCGAACATCTCAGTGGTAACATCTCTGACTGCAGCACTGGGTAACGCAAATTGAAATCTCAGGAGGGAAATGAGTTCCTTTGAGGTTTCAGATACGCCTTGCTGACGATTGCCAACTAGCACGAAACCTAGGCGCAAGGCTTCTTGCCAATCACCTTTAATTATCTTGTACCAACAAGGTCACATTAAATACTATTTTTAAGTCAGAAGTCACTTTTACAATGAGTAACTGCAATGCATAAGCCGTAAGTGGAATTGTACAGTTAGCTAGATAATGGTCTTCTTTAATATTCCATGTATTTGTTTTGCATTGTAGTGTCCATAGGCACAAGTGATTACCGTTATTCTCTGAGGTGTAGAGTGGAACATAGAGCCTTGAAAGCACATCTCCTTTTTATCCCGTTCTCCTCAGTCTTCTTTGACTACCTCCACGACTGCGTTTAATCTTTCATCTCCTCCTCCACACACGATCTCTTCCATATCACCGCCGGATGATAAACTTGCCGTCGTCCATTAGGTTTCTACTCAAAGGCTTGACACGTCGTGTCACTCATGCCTGAGTGCGTTTCAAGTCCGTCTTTATTTCCTTCGACATGTTTGTTGGGTGAGAAGTTCTTGATTATTCGTCACCAAAGTCTCTTGCTGATAGTCTTTTCTAACAGGCTATCTGATCATCAATATGAAACGAAGGCAGGTGTTGATTGAATCTTGAAGCTTGTTCAAAATGTTTTTGGTGACATACTAGGTCTCTTAATCACCTAGAAGAAAGGACTTAACAATATTGTTGAAGATCTGAATCTTTTTGTTTATGCTTAGTTCAGAAGATATCCATATCGATTTTACATTAACAAAAGTCTATCTTATCGTTCCGATCCTCGCTCTGAAACCTCCGTCCGTGCCGATTGTCTGTAGTTGAAAGGATTCTGTCTAGATGCGTAATGGTGGGGACCTCCTTCAGATTTCTCTTATTGACATTGATCGGTAGTTGGTGGTGGTTGGTCAGCTTCATCACTTCCGTCTTCTCTATGTTCTCTTAAAGTCCTGTCTTAGCTGCTAATAACTGACTATTTATGAACACTATCGTGACATTTAAAATCGAAGTCCTCTTTTCTCACAAGTTAGATGGAAAATAATTTAGCAAAAATTGTGTTTGTTTGCATGATAATCTCATGTTCACCACTATACATCTATGTTCTTATAAGTCAAGCGAGTTTACAGTAAAAGTCTAAGGCAGATCAATACCTTTGAGATGAAAATAAAACAGGAGAGCCAACTGATTAGGGAAGAAAAAGAAAATCCCTTAACATACGATTGCTCATAATTCCACCTAATGTGTGAATATATCAACCAAAGTCATCTTTTAACGCTGTATGAATACTTCGTGTCTACTGTTATTGATAAGTTGTTATGCTGTCATATTTTTAACTTATTAGATGCGTGAATATATATATCCAATATAACATGTTCTATTAAATGATATGAAAATCACTCACATAAATCAATAACACTCCAAAGTCATATGATCAACGCAAGTTAAACAAAACTTTGTCTATTTAAACAGTTTCGCCAAATAAACTTAGTCAATTTAACTGAATCTATCGAAATCGCTAGACTTGGAGTGTAAGAGCTGCTAATTATTAGAGTTTATTTGTGACCATCAGTTACCACATGTGTAGCATTTTGATCCTTGATCAAATTCCATTGCTATGCGAATAGTTCCCATCTAGCCTGTGTATTTTTCAATCATCGTTACTTTGATATCAAAGCAGTGCAAATGACAATCTGAAATTTTCAAACAAATAATTACGTCTCTTTCTACTTTGTTAAAACTGTAGTCGTCTCTCTCTCTCTGTTAATCATGTTGAACAGTTTATTCATTTGTCACAGTTGCCCCATCGAGTAAACTGTAGTGCTATACAAATATGGTACCTCTTCAGTAAAGTTTCAAAGTCATTCCTAGTGTCCGCTTAAAAATTGGTAAATTTTATTATTATTGTTCCCCTGGATTCCGAGTAGAACATAGGGATTCAACAACATATCCCACTTTGTTACATTTTCTGCTGCCTTGTTTGATTGGACCCACGACTACCCACAAGATCTCAGCTCATCCTCACAAAATCTCCTCCATGTCACCCTAGGATGACCCACCGGTCGTCTCCAATTAGGATTCCACTCGAGTGATGGCTTAACGCACGACTTCATTCGACGGCCTCCTCAGTGTATGCTCAATCCACCTCCATTTTCTCCTGCATAACTTTTGAATGATAGTTTCTTGGTTGGTTTGTTTCCACAGTTTTTTTGTTACCAATTCTTTCTGACTACTTAATGTTTAATAAAGAGCAAAGGCAACGGTTGATAAAAGCATGCAACCTGTTGGAAATCCTATTCGTGATGCTATTGCCAAGTTTCTGACCCATATAATGAAATGACTGATTCAACATTTGTGTTGAAAATCCGAATATTGTTGTTTAAGCTGAATGAAGAAGGTTTCCTAACTGATTTCAGATTGATGAAGGTTTAACTTGTCTTTCCGATTCTGGCTTTAACATCTTCATTGGTAAACAGAGTCTCGAAATTTTGCCGTAAGAAATTTTATTCCGTACTTATTCACAGTGTTTTTCGTCATTTTATAACAAACTATCTACAGATCATAAGATACATTGTAGAAGTCTTTGAATTATTATTAATTAAGTGCCTCCACTGAAAAATAATGGCCATAAAATTGATTTCCCAAAGTTACTTCAGAAAACTGAAATACGATTAATTATTTTTCTATTATGGCTTGATTCCACACAGTATTTTTGGTATACCTATGGAATTTTTACCATGTAATATCGGCTAACCATTGATATCAGGTGTGCATTGGCCGCGGAGCGGACCATGTGCATAGTCTACGAGCGTCCTAACCGCTGTGCCACCAATGCACAGAGAACCGTCAAATTTAATGGATATTTTTGAAATAAAAGCCACTTAGACGGTCAAAACTCAACCTCTGCATTTACAAAGAATGTATTATTATTTTTGACCCATCATGATAAAACATAAACATTTTTGTTAACTTTTGTAAAAATAATAAATATTTAATTTTGACAAAATAATTGCATACGCTTCCCTCCAACCTTTATTTATACTTTTATCCTCTATTCAAACAAATTATTCAACTCTAATCTAATATGTGTTGCCAAGTTTACAACTCTAAATATGTTTTCAAATTCCGTTGTTAGCTCTAGGGTATTCTCGTTTATTTTTCAATATATGCCAGCAAGCTGACTATTACTTTTATCGTTATCAGACTGCCATAAGGTTTATCTTTTCAAGATCAATCAGCATGTGTTTATTTCATGATTTTTACGAATTACCTTTACTATTTTTCCATAAAAACATACATATGGAAATTGGAGAGTAGTATTTACTATAACTCATGTAGGCAAACAATACTGTTTTTCAATTAGATTTGACTGGGTCTTAACCTACTTTATGAATAAATATTAAATGCATATCAATCATGACGCGTATAAATTGTGCGATAAGCCATAATAATAAAAACAACAATTCTATTGATAACATTGATAAAAAAAATTGCAGCGATTTTTGTGATAATAAGAATAATCCTAAAAAGGGCGTGATTATTATTATACAAACAAATATTCA